ATTTGAGGCATGGAAATGGAACAGACTAATGATTCTTAAAGTGAAGGGAGCTGGGGTGGGGGGGCAGGAAGTGATTAAACAAAGATCTTATAATGCATATATGCATTACCTATAAATACAGAAAACAGAGTGGTGAAGGCCTGGGAACTAGGTGGAGGGAGGCTATGGAGGGATTTTGGGGGAGAAGGAGATACCTGTAATACTCTCAACAATAAATATTTTTAGAAATATATATTTTTAAAAAGACAAAAAGGCATCAAGAATGGAGGGGTGGGAGGAGTGGATAAAAGAAGGTGAAGGGATAAGCCAAAGAACATCTATGTATAACCTACAGACAAAGACAACAGTGTGGTAATGAACAGAAGGGAAGAAGGGTAGAGGTAGTGTGGAGGGGGACAAAGAGGGAGTATATGGGCACATATGTAATAATGTTAACAATAAAATAAAATAAAAAGAAGGGAAAAGAGCCAAAACTGGTTTGGCTCAGTGGATGGAGTGTCAGCTTGCAGACTGAGGGGTCCCAGGTTCGATTCCGGTCAAGGGCACGTGCCCCAGTTGTGGGCACATCCCCAGTAGGGGGTGTGTGCAGGAGGCGGCTGGTCAATGTTTCTCTCTCATTGATGTTTTTGACTTTCTATTCCTCTCCTTTCCTCTCTGTAAAAAAATCAATAAAATATATTTAAAAAAAAAAAAAGAAGGGAAAAGAGAGATCTCATTCAAACAAATAATCGACGAGAACTTCCCAAACCGGTGCAAAGAACTGGATCCTGAAATACAACAAGCAAATAGAACATCTATTATCTCAATCCCAAAAGACCTTCTGGGAAGAAACCAAGATGGCAGCATAGGTAAACACCTAAACTGCTGCCTTGCCTAACAATTTCAAAACTACAACTAAAACTCAAAACCGACATCACCAGAAACACAGGAAGGTGGGCTGAGTGGAAATTCTACAACTAGAAGGAAGAGAAAAGCACACTGAGACTCAGAGGAGCTGCAGAAGGCAGAGAGGTACGAAGTAGGCATGCAGAGAAGGCTGGCAAATGAGTATGTGTCAGGCTTTCTCAGTCGGGAGGGAGACAAAAGCTCCTGACTGCTCTGAACCACAGTTCTGGGCAAGACTCCAGGGACCCAGACTCATATGGGGAGAAGCTGTACTGTCTGGCAGCAGGCAAACTCAAGGGTGGCTTTCTCTCAGAGGTGCTTGCAGTGATTACCGCAGGACACTGAGACCCAGAGGCCTCTTAGGGCAGGGCTGATGGGAAGCCATTGCTGTCTGCTCCACCCTGAGAACCCACCCCATCCAAGCTGAGCACAGAGGTTTTGGCAAGTCTTGTGTCATAAGGGTGTTTCCAGTATAGAAGTTCCCCCAGCATAGACACAGCTGACTGTCACAGCCAATTGGCCTGGAGGTCAATTCCTCCCAGTGATACCAACAGCAATCTAGGCTTAACTACAACAAGACTGTGCATACAGCCCACAAAGGGGTGCACTAAGAGTGTCCACCTGAGGTAACTGGGGAGGCTGAGCCCCTGGGCCCTATAGACACCTACCACACAAAGCCACTCTATCAACTCAGGGAAGCAGCCAAAGTGTGGAGACAAAGAAACAGGTCACAAATGAAAGAAATGGAGGAAAGCAAATTATTGGATATAGTGTTCAAAACCACAGTTACAAGGTTTTTCAAGAATTTTCTAGAAAAGGACAATAAATTTAGTGAGACCCTTGAGGATATAAAAAAGGACCAACTAGAAATTAAGCATACACTGACTGAAATAAAAAATAATATACAGAAATCCAACAGCAGACTAGAGGAATGCAAGAATCAAGTCAAAGATTTGAAATACAAAAAAGCAAAAAACATCCAACCAGAAAAGAAAAAAGAATCCAAAAATATGAAGACAGAAAACTTCCCCCACGTGGTGAAAAAAATAGACTTACAAGTACAGGAAGCACACACAAAAGGAATCCAAAGAGGACCATACCAAGACACATTATAATTAAATTGCCAAGGGCAAAAGACAAAGAGGTGAATATTAAAAGCAGCAAGAGAAAAGCAGGAAGTTACTTATAAAGGAGCATCCATATGACAGAAACTATGCAGGCCAGATGAGAGTGGCAAGAAATATTCAAAGTGATAAATAGCAAGAACCTACCCAGCAAAGCTATCATTCAGAATTGAAGGTCAGACAAAGAGCTTTACAGACAAGAAAAAGCTAAAGGAGTTCATCACTGCCAAACCAATATTATATGAAATGCTGAAAGGTATTCTTTAAGAAGATGATGAAAAAGAAAAGGGTAAAGATAAAAATTGTGAACAACAAATACATATCTATCTACAAGTGAATCTAATAATCAAGTGAATAAAAAATCTGATGAACAGAATAAACTGGTGAATATAATAGAATTAGGGGCATAAAAAGGGGACTGACAATTCTTTGGGGGAAAGGAGTGTGGGGGTGCAGGAAAAGAATGGACAAAAATTGTACACCTATAGATGAGGACAGTGGCGGGGGGGTAGTAAGTGGAGTAGGAACTGGGTGGAGGGGAGCTATGGGGGGGAAAAAGAGGAATTATGGTAATAATCTGAATAATAAAGATTTCTTTCTTTTTTTTTTTTTAAAGACCTTCAGCAAGGCACACGATATTAACTGCCGAAAATTCATGACAAAGAAAAAATTCTCAAGGCAGCCAGAAAAAAGAATCCAGTAACCTATTCAGGAAATGCCATTAAATTATTATCAAGTTTTTCAGCATAAATCCTACCAGCTAAGAGAGAGTGGAATCAAATATTCAAATTATTGAGGACGACATCATCAGCCATGTTTAATATATCCAGCTAAATTATCCTTTATATATGAAGGAAAAAATAAAGACTTTACAAGATATACAGAATGTGAGGGAATGTACCACCACAAGACTTGCATTACACAAAGTACTCAACATTGTTCTTCTACCTGAAACAAAAAGACAAAAAGATACACAACTATGAGTAAAATGACTAACAGACAGAAGCAGAAAATTGCAACCATTGTTCAGAATAGGGTACTATACACTTAAATGTAACCTAAAGGTTAAAGGAGTAAAAACATTTAAATTAAAAAAAAAAGTTCTACTGCAATTTGGAAATTAATAGCATAAAAAGGGAAATTTGCGACAACAAAACATAAAAGGAGAGTGGTAAAGGTCTGAATTTGCACATGGCAATGGAGATAAGATGCAATCAGACATAAAAAGAAGTACTGTATATACTAAACTTTCTTTTACATAAGCCTAAATCTATTATAAAACTGAGACACATAACAATATAACATTAAACAAGAGGAAACTAGGGGGGAAAATCATAGAATACTACCAAAATGAAATAATAAACAGAACATAAGGGAAAGTTAATAATGGAGACACAGAGTTACAGGAAAACAAGAAATAAATTATATATCAACTAGAGGCCTGGTGCACAAATTTGTGCATGGGTGGGGTCCCTAGACCTATCTGACAGTCGTGCCCTGCGCAGAAGAAACAGATGCTGGATGTCGACATAGGCACCTCGCCACCAAACAGTTCCCCGCCTCCTCCCTCCCTCCTTCCCTTACTCCCATGCCGCCACCTTGGCAGGTGAGCAGTTGGCCAATTGAGGCCTGCTGGCAGGATGGAGAGACCATGGGAGGTTGGCTGTTGGAGTGCACTGACCACCAGGGGGAAGCTCCTGGGTTGAGCTTCTGCCCCCCCGCCCGTGGTCAGTGCACATCAAAGTGACTGGTCGACTGGTCATTTCGTCTTAACGGTTGCTTAAGCTTTTATATATATATATAGGTAGGCACAATGAATGTAAATAGCCTGAACTCCAATAAAAAGACACAGAGTAGTAGGTTGAATCAAAAGGAAACCCAATATAAATTCTTCAAAAGACCTATTTCAGATGAAAAGACAAATATAGGGGTTAAATCTGATACCCCAAGCAAACATAGGGGTGAAATCTGATATCCCAGAAAAAAGCAGGTATAGCCATGACAAAATGGGTTTCAAGATAAAAAAGAGACAAAAATGGAAATTTTATAGATAAAGGGGACAATAAATCAAGAAGACATAACACATTAATATATATGCACCCAATCTGGGAGCACCAAAATATATAGAGCAACTACTAACAGAACTACAGGGAGAAACTGGTAAAAACATAATGATAGTAAGGAGCTTAAATACTCCACTAATCACTATAAACAGATGATCCAAAAAAAAATCAATAAGGAAATATCAGCCTTCAGTGATACATTTGACCAAATGGACATAATATTTACAGACTTTTATCCCAGAACACATTATATATTCATCTTCTAGTGCACATGGATCATTCTCAAGGATAGAGAATATGTTGAGATTCGAAACTAGCCTCAACAATTTAAGAAGACTGAAATCATACTAAGCATATTCTCCAACCACATGCTTTGAAATTGGAAATCAACTGAAAAAAAAACATGAAGATATTAAACAATAACTACGAAACAACAACTGGGTCAGAGAAGAGAAAAAGATTCAGAGACAGCTCAGCCAGTGTGGCTCAAAGGATGAATATGACCCATGCACCTTGGGTCACTGGTTCCATTACAGGTCAGGACACATGACTAGTTTGCAGGCTTGGACGATCCAGTGTGGGGCATGCAGGAGACAGCTGATCGATGTTTCTCTCTCATCACTGATGTTTCTATCTCTCTCTACCTTCCTTTCTCTGAAATCAATTAAAACATTTTTTAAAATTAGCTGGAACACTTGTCAAATGCAGATTCTCAGGCCTCGAACCATGGAAAGACCCTTCCTTTTTCCAGGAAAAATTATAAGACTTAGAGGACCTCGGGAATCTGGAATCTTAGCAAGCCCCATCCCTTTGGTGTATTTGTCAAGCTGGTGTAAGGACTAGGACAATGCTTTATCGCAGTCTTTCCTCATAAAGGCAAAAAGCGGGAGGCAGAGACGAACGCTTCGTCCGCCTGGCTCTACGTTACCTTCTCGATCCTGCCCAGGAAGAGCTCCTTGGCGAAAGCGTGGGTGCGCGAACTGGAGCGCAGCGGTCGCCTGCTAACAGCGAAGGCCCGCAGAGCCCAGCAGGTGCGCGCGCGGAGCCCAAAGACCATCATGCTGTCTAGAGTGCACACCTTAGCAGGCTTGTCCTGGACTCCTGCCCCGGCGCCCCGATGACGTCACAACAAAGCGCCTCGCTCCACAAGCCATAGCGCATGCGCGATACCCAATGACCACTTCCTTGTGCCTGCAACCAGATGGTGCGCATGCGCTATTTATGATCCATTGGGCGCCTTCCGCAGACCAGTGCGCATGTGTGGCTGGGGTAGCAAGCCCGGTGCCACCATCTTAGTGGTCTTTGTTCCCAACGATGGGCGGCCTGAAGGACTTTGTTTTAAAACAAAGTACAAATGGTTGCCGAAACCGGTTTGGCTCAGTGGACAGAGCGTCAGCCTGCGGACTGAAGAGTCCTGGATTCAATTCCGGTCAAGGGCATGTATCTTGGTTGCGGCACATCCCCAGTAGGGAGTGTGCAAGAGGCAGCTAATCGATGTTCTAACTTTATCCCTCTCTCTTCCTCTCTGTAAAAAATCTATTAAAAAATAATAATAATAATAAAGTTGGTTGCCCAGCTGGTGTTGTTCATTGGTAGGGCCTCCTCCCATGCACGTGTGGTGGGTTCTATTCGGGTCAAGAACCTGTCCCTGGGTTGCAGGTTCAATCCCCAGCCCAGGTTGGGGCACCAATCAGTTCCAGATCTCTCTGTCTCTCTCTGTTGCCCACCCCCCATCTCCCGCCTTCCCTTCCACTCTAAAAATCAATGGAAAAATATATTTGAGTCCAGTTGGCATGTTTCAGTGGTTGAGTGTGGATCGATGTCCAGTCAGGACACATACCTGTGTAGTGGGCTCCCAGAAGGAGGTGTGCAGGAAGCAGCCAATTAATGATTCTCTCTTTGGTGTTCTTATCTCTCCCTCTCCCTTCTTTTCTGAAAGCACTAAAAAATATTTTTTTTAAAGGAAAGAAAAATACCCTTGAGTGAGGATTAACAAAAAAATAAGTTTGTGTTATTTCTATTTTGTCTGAACATATAACATTGCATAGTATTCTTCCATCCTTATCCCCACCAATGTTTTAGTCCTAGACCTTTATAATTTATGTATCCAGTGCTCATCAGTCCTTTTGTCAAAATTTCTCAAATGTCTTGGTTGAATGGTTTGTCCTGTGATAGAACTTATGAGAAAGGACTCATAAGAAGTGTATGCACCAAATTCTTGTATGTTTAAAACCTGTGCAAACTTTTCTATATTTTTTTAAACCAGAGAATTTATCTTCTACTTTAATTAATTTCACTTGGATATATGTCTCTCAGTTTTGATAATTGTGGGCTAGTTATTCCCCCCCCCCCCCAAGAACTTAGAACCTTTAGGATGCAGATTCACCTTTTCTTTTTTTAAAAATATATTTTTTATTGATTTCAGAGAAAGGAGAGGGAGAGATAGAAACATCAATGATGAGAATCATTGATAGCCTGCATCCTGCACACCATTGACTGAGGATTAAGCCCACAATCCAGGCATGTGCCCTGACCAGGAATCCAAATGTGACCTCCTGGTTCATAGGTTGATGCTCAATCACTGAGCCACACCAGCGGAGCATCAGCTCTTCTTTATTATAGATAATTTTCTTTAATTATAGTCTTATATCATAGTATTATTACATGTACTTATATGTTCTTTTTTTAAATTTTTTTTTATTGATTTCAGAGAGGAAGGGAGAGGGAGAGAGACTCAGAAATATCAATGATGATAATCATTGATTGACTGCCTCCTGCACACCCCCTACTGGGAATCAAGCCCGCAACCTGGGCATGTGCCTTTGACTGGAATCAAATCTGAAACCTTTCAGTCCACAGGTCGACGCTCTATTGAGTCAAACCAGCTAGGGCTATATGTTCTATTTTCATCTGCTACATCTCTACTTTCTCTCTGACCTCTAATACCTCCTTACATTTTATTTTCTTGGATCCTTTTATTTCCATCCTCAATGTCCCTTTCTGTACTTTCAGTTATATCGTTTCTCCATTAGACAGCTAAGATAATTTTGTCTTTTTCTTCATTTTTTTTCTTGAGTTTAGTGAGCTTCCATTGCACATCTTTTTTTTTTAAATATATTTTATTGATTTTATACAGAGAGGAAGGGAGAGAGATAGAGAGATAGAAACATCGATGAGAGAGAGTCATCGATCAGCTGCCTCTTGCACACCCCCCACTGGGGATATGCCTGCAACCAAGGTATATGCCCTTGACCAGAATCAAACCCGGGGCCCTTCAGTCCCCAAGCCGACGCTCTATCCATTGAGCCAAACCGGTCCCGGCCCATTGCACATCTTATTTGTCCCCATTTTTTGTTATTAATCCTCACCTGAGGATTTCTTCTTGAGAGAGAGAGAGAGAGAGAGAGAGAGAGAGAGAGAGAGAGAGAGAGAGAAACAGACATGGAGAGAGCCACATCAACTGGTTGCCTTCTGCATGCACCACTACCAAGGACAGGGAGGGAACCCACAACACAGGCCCTTGACTGGAAATTGAACCCAAGACATTTCAGTCCACAGAATGATATTCTAACCACTTAACACACAAGCCAGGTCTTATTTGTCCAATTTTATAATCAAACCTCAGTTCTCAAACATCTCCCACTTCAAACAATTTAGTTCTTTAACCAACTTGTTCACAGGGGGAAAAAAAAGTCTGGGTTGTGGAACAAAACTTCGATTTTGTGACCTGACAACCTTTTTATGATGATACCTCAGCATGACAAAAAGCTTCTCTCAGGCCACTTACAAGGAAAGGAGAAAAAGTACATTCAAAGGAGAGAATGATTGGCACAATTTTAAAATATAAAGATGCAACCAAGTACTAATGTTGCTAAGAGTGTGAAAGAAACAGTTATTACAGGGAATTAAAGAAGTAAAAAAACCCAAAACTGTTGTTGATTTGGATAAACAAAAAGCAGTTAGCTGGGTGACAGCATTTTAGAGGCAGTGATATGAACAAGCAAAAACACTGCATACTGACCTGAAAGACATCCCTGGACCCAGTGCTGAAAGTGATTTCTTTAAGGCTGGTAAAGGATGATACGATCAATTTAAGAAAAGTTTTTATTTATAGATTAAACAGTACATTAGACATGTATTATACATAGAAAGGTTAAAGTGGAATCATTTGTGGGTCTGGAACAAATTAAATTTACATTTCTAATGGGGAAATATGATTCAGTTTTCGAACAAATCACTTTTCAAACAGCATTCGTAATGAATTAAATTCAAGAACCATGGTAGACTGTGGTGTTCTTTCATCTCTTATTGGTTGTTTAATTATGTGTAATTAATGATATATTATGTTACAATTTTCCCCTGCTTTGGATTTTTATCCTGTTTGCATTTATGTGTGTTCTTATTTGCTAAAAAGTTTTCTCATTTTCCTTCTTAAAGTATTTTTGTATGAAGACTTTGTGTTTATTTGCATTAGATTTTCCGAGACCAACAATAGCAGTGTGTCACAACCTTCGTAACGGGATTCAAGATCTGAAAGAGGGACCAATGCACAAATGAAAATGCTATACAAGAATTATGAGTTTAGAAGGCATGGGGGTGGAAGCCAGGTGGAGACATCTTTCTTGAAGAGGCACCCTCAAGACTGGGTCCCATCTGCTTTTTATTCAGTTTTAGATGCACATCTTGCCCTCTAGCAATGCATACAGGCATATCAAAGGTAAAGTTTGGTAAACAGTAAAAGGATTATAATATTAGGGAATTGTCTTGAGCCATTGAGCCCACAGTAGGGCAATATTATGCTGAATTTCAGCCCTGCTGAATATCAAAGTCCAGTGGTTTTCCAATGATTTTCTGCATTAATATGCTAACTGCTGATGGCTTCAGCCTCTGGCAGTAGTGATATACGGGGAAGGACCAGGTCTTATGTGGTTTACTTAATTTTTTAGTCCAAAAATGTTCCATTTTGCTTATATAGTTGACAAAAAAGGGCCACATGCTAACCTAACTCAAGGAAGGCCTGTGTGGCAGCCTTGCAAATTCAAGAGACCTAAAATAACAACAAAGGATGTTTTAAAATTAAATATCTGTGGAATGTCAAGGTAACTTGTAACTTCCCTTTTTTGGGACACCTCAGGGCACAACAAATACTGGCAGGGCACCAAGCACAAACTCCTTTATTGTTATTATTATCTGTTAATAGCTGACTGTTAATTATCCGGTACTCATTTATGTATAAGAGGTATGTATGTATAATTTTACTTTTTATTCATTCCAGAAGTTTCCCTACTTTGCTTTCTCCTACCTCCCTAATCTATCACAAATGGATTTAATGTAACCCACTTATGTCTCCTCCTTTGATGGTAATTTATAAAAATAGGTGAAAGCCACCATTCTCCACAGCATTATCTTAATTTGTTGAGATTCTGCTTCCTGGGAATTGTTGACAGTTTGGCTCAAATAAACTCACAAAAATTCTTAGATTAACACAGTGAACTGCAGTTCCTTTAATAAAAAAACACTATTCCGCCGAAACTGGTTTGGCTCAGTGGTAGAGCGTCGGTCTGCGGACTGAAAGATCCCAGGTTCGATTCCGGTCAAGGGCATGTATCTGGGCTGTGGGCACATCCCCAGTAGGGGGTGTGCAAGAGGCAGCTGGTCGATGTTTCTCTCTCATTGACATTTCTAGCTCTCTATATCTCTCCCTTTCTCTCTGTAAAAAATCAATAAAATATATTTAAAATAAATAAATAAAATACACTATTCTTTTATGTCTGTCTTCTGTTTCTGTGATAGCATCTTGTTTTGTTTTAATATTTTTACTGATTTCAGAGAGGGAGAGATAGAAACATCAATGATAAGAGAGAATCATTGATTGGCTGCCTCTTGCATGCCCTCTACTGAGTTCCCCCCCTGCCCTCCCACAAGCCTCCCAGGGAAACCTTGCTTTCTCAGGTGTCTCCCTCTTCTCAGAAGCAGTGCCTTTAGTTACTGGTCCCATGAACTTTCCAAGTCTTCTTCTGATTCACTAGGTCTTACTTCTCTCCTCACATGTCCACTCTG